TGATATGGAAAGGGTTAATACCATAAAAGCCATAAGTTTTACACCCCAATTCTAAATTAACCCTAAATGGATTTGTGTCTAATTAGCCTAAATAATTGTGACCCCGTTTCAAAATCATTTTATCATCCGGTTAACAACAGGTCAAGGTACGCAGTCGGTCACCACTCTCCTATACTACTCGATCGTTCGTACACCACCTATACTACTCGATCGTTCGTCACCTTTCACAGAAACGTCTTGCATCAAAAAAGGGTTTCATGTAGTTGGTCTTAGGAAGAAGAAGGGTTTGAAAAGGGTTTCTTACACCATTGTTGCATGCAAAAAAGGTTCTATTTTGAAGTTGAAAATCACTGAAGTAGAAAGGTACGTGGGGTGCCAATTAGAAATTGATGTGTATGTGTGTTCTTATCTTACATAATCGAGTTCCATAGTGTCACTTACAAGTATAATTTTTCATCTTGAACAGATGGCTTCATCATCTGGAACTAAAAAGGTGAAAGGGCCTGAAAAGGTTTATGTAAGGGACGAGGACTCTGATGATGATCTCATAGATTTCTCTTTCCTGGATTTTGCACCAGAGACCTTTAAACCAACCTCAAACCTGTCTGATGACCCATTCCTTAACATATTATGTGATGAAAATATGTTAAGGATGACTCTTGATGGAATGGGAGATGATGATCAGGAAGCTGGTGTTAAGGATCCAGAACATGATCATATTGATGATCAAAATGACGGTGAAGTAGGTGTAAAGTACAGGGTTCATGATCCAGACATACATTGGAAACAAATGAAGCCTGTAGTGGGAGAGTGTTACGAGTCCCCTTCTCAACTCAGGTTTGTATTAACTAACTATGTTGTAGCTAATGGATATTAGTTGTGGTTTATGAAGAGTGATAGGCATAGAGTGATTGCTAGGTGTGGGAAAATATATAAAAAAGACCCATGTCCCTTTAGAGTTTATGCTGCTTGGAAGTATAATGAACGAACATTTCAGATTAAATCTATATGTGACATACATCTATGTGCTAGAAATTTTAATTTTGGAACTTTGGTTAGTTGTAACTGGTTGGCCAAACATTACCTGAAGGATATTATTATGAAGCCAAAGATGACATTAACTGAGATGAAGGAAGATGTACTTAGGATGTTTTCAGTAAATGTATCTAAGGGGCAATGTCACAGGGCTAGGACAAAGGCAAGAGAGATGATAGAAGGTAAGTTAGAAGAACATTATGCAAAGGTATGGGACTATGCTGCAGAAATCCTCAGGTCTAACCCAGGGAGCACTTGTAAGGTGGGAGTAGATTCTAATGCAAGTGGCATGAACTATTTCAAAAGGTTTTATGTGTGCTTAAAGGCTTTTAAGGATGGTTGGAATAGGGGTTGCAGACGTGTGATAGGTTTGGATGGTTGTTTCCTAAAGGGTCAGATCAAGGGAGAACTTTTGACTGTTGTTGGAAGAGATGCAGACAATCATGTATATCCAATAGCATGGGCAGTGATTGATGTAGAGAACAAAGATAATTGGACTTGGTTTATTGAGCTGTTAGTTGCTTATCTTGACCTTGATTGTGGTAGGGGTCTTATGGTTATTTCCGGTCAGCACAAGGTAAATTATACTGTAAATTTGTTTAATTATTATACATTTATAATAATTTTGTTTATTCAACGTCAGGGTCTACTACAAGCTGTTACAGAACTACTTCCATATGTTGAACATAGACAATGTGCCAGGCACATCTATGCAAACTTCAGGAAGAAATACACTAGGTTAGAGCTCAAGAACCTATTTTGGGAAGCTGCCAAAAGTACTGTGGAGGGGGACTTTATAGCAACAATGAAGAAAATCAAAGACATAACTCCCAGTGGCTATGAATGGTTGATGTCAAACAAACCACATTCTTGGTGTAGGGCATTTTTCTCTCATGGATATGCTTGTGAGGCTATAGAGAATGGCATATCAGAGTGTTTCAATTCGATGATCATTCACATGAGAAAAAAACCAATTCTAACAATGCTTGAGGAAATCAGGATTTATTTGATGAATAGGTTTTATCATCAAGCTGCTACAGTTTCTCAACGGAAAGGTGACTATGGCCCAAACACCTTAGAGAAGATTAAGGAGTTTGGAAAGCATATGAGGTATGCTTATTTGATTTTAATTGTGATCTTAAGTCTATACATATACATTACTAATTACTTATAATTTTAGTTTCTGGATAGTAATACCAAGTGGAGGGGCATTATTTGAGACAAGGCATGGATATTCAGCTTACAAGGTGGATTTAGATGCTCATTCTTGTTCATGCAGATTATGGGAGATATCAGGGTTACCATGTGTCCATGCTCAAGCTGCAATCAATTTCACACATAGAGATCCAACTGATTTTATTTCCTTTTGGTACCATAAGGACAAGTTCATAGAGATATACAAGGACAACATCTTACCTGTTAATGGAAGTAATATGTGGCCCTATACTGAATATTTGAAGCCCTTACCACCCCTTGTTAGGAGAATGCCTGGAAGGCCAAAAACAAAGAGAAGAAGACATGCCTCAGAATGTCAGGATTCTAAGTTCCCAACTCAAAAGGCAAAGGTTAGCAGGACTGTTAGGTGTGGGAAATGTAGGGAACTTGGTCATAATAAGCTGTCTTGTAAGAATGGAGAAGGTCTAAGTGACCCTGTCCCTAAAAGGAAAAATGGTAGACCAAAGGGAGATGGGGGAGGGAATTTAGCTGTGAACATTGCAAAGACACCAAAGAAAGTAGATAAGGGAAAGAAGAAAGTTGTTGAGGGCACATCAAAAGAAGCAAATGAGGGACATAATAAAGTTGTTGATCACACATCAAAAGAAGCAAGTGAGGGAAAGATGAAAGCTGCTGAGGGCACATCAAAAGAAGCAGGTAAGATGATAGATGTTGATCAGTCAATTTCTCCTTTGAAGAGAATGAAGATGATGGCAAGGAGGGGAGGTAAGATCAAATATGTAAGGAGAATAGGGGCTATGCATGGTAGTATAAGTCAAACTGTGGCAGGTGTTGATGAAGCTGTACTTACCTGCCATGAAAAGCTTGACCATGAAGATTTTGAAACTATTAAAGATCTGCAGGCATCTGGATATGATCATGGGGAAATTGTTGAAGCTTTTAATAAGGTGTGTAGTTATAAATTTAATTATTAACACAATTTTCTTGAACATTATGTGATAATATGTTTATGTTAATTTCTTATTCACAGTTGACAAAAGAGAGGAAGGACGTGTTGGTTGAGAGTATAGTTGATGAAGAGACCAGTCAAGAAACACAAGATCCGTTGGTAAGAAAAAGGAAGCCCTCAGAAAGAATTATCAAGATTAAGTTGAAAAAAGCAGTGCATGATCCAGATGGAGGTGGTTCAACAACTGAGAAAGCACTTACATTGGACTGATGTTGTTATGGATGGGGGGTTAATTGGGCATAAATCTTTTGATAGCCCTTTTTTGTGAAAGCATGTTTTTGGTAACAAGCTTCCAATTTGTTGACAACATGTTATCTTTTGACTGTAAATTGTAGTAACATTGTCATTTTGGGAAATCATCTTTTTGGCTTGTAAACATTGTTGTAAAATTGGAAGTTTGGTTCTGATTGTTACCCTCCATGTATGTATTTGGCTATTATGTTTATAAAGATTGTGGTTTGTAGTAAGTTCAAATTTCAATGTCAGTTTGTAATGGATAGTAAATTGTCAATTTCTGGTTAATGCTTTTCATATTAATTGTCCCGTAGGACTATGTATTACAAGGGTACCCATATTACAACCATCAAAATGTTTTCAGATGCTATTACAACTGTGCCAAAATAAGCATCTAATACAATTTCACCTAACCAACAACTTCACAAAAGACTAAACTTAACTTCCTATAATTTCACGAGCAATACAGTCCCTGTTACCAACATCACTGCAAATAGCATGACCATGATGAACATAAGCTTCATCATCAACATCAACCTCCTATTTTGATCCACATTCACCTGTTCCAACTGAGCATTGCCATCAGCCATACCAACCAGAGCTAAATGCATTTGGTACATGAGGTTTTTGTAATCTTCACTAGGCAAAGGTGGATCCAACCACATGAAGAACTTACAATACCTGGAAGGATCCTGCACATTTTTATGACAGATTTGCCCTTAGTCCCATAACAAAACTTTATACTGGATCAAAGAGTGAAGAACATACCTTGTAGTTGGTGCATCCCCTAAATTTTCTTCCAGGATTCTTGTCCGTCCACGAAATTGAGAAGCTAGCCTCAACACCACAACGACACAAAACCATGGGGTTGTTTCTGTTCCTAAAATTGACATTAACATTTTGAAATCCTGAAGTCATTGACCCTGTAGATGAACTAGCCATGAAGAAGTTGATGCGTGGAAGAAGAAGTCAGAGAATGTAGAAGTAGGAGGTGGAAGATGGGTTTCTAACGCTAAAACCCCTATTTGTAAAGGGGTAACCGGCTGAAACCGGGGAAACCGGCTAACAGGGTTTGAGGCAAAAGTCAACACATACATAATAGCTAATTAGACACAAAAAATCCATTTAGGGCTAATTTAGAATTGGGATGTAAAACTTATGGCTTTTATGGTATTAACCCATATGGAAATGAACTATTGATGATAAAGTCCCTTGTTGGACTTCATAGTTTATATACTCAGTATGTTTCGAAAATATTTTCCTTGAAATAAAAGTTAACTACAAACATGCTATTTAGTATTTTCTTACAAGTTTTGACACACTTACTAAACTAAACCAAAGATCCTGAAAGCAAATAGTAACAATAATCGCTATAAAAAAAAAAAAAAAAAAAAAAAAAAAAAAAAAAAACTAAAGATCCTGAAAGCAAATAAATGAACAAAAAAAGCTCTTGTTCAACTCGACTACTATCCAATAAATAAAGATAATGAATTTAATGTGACTAACAATTTATTAATTTGTTTAGCTTAATGATCAGTGAATCGATCTACCATCGCAGCTGGTTGGGATGAGCTTCAAAGAACCTCGGTTGAATCCAAACCGCTCTACGCACACGCTTTTTGGAAGGAGAATCATCTACAACTTCGTTTAGATACACATGTCGATGACAATCCTCAGCTGATTCGTATGATAATCCACAAACAGCAACATATTCATCGTCTTCAAGATTAAATCGGTCTCTGGTATCCTCAATCCTGTTACGAAAGACATGCTTATTATAACAATAAGGCATACTTTCCGTATCCTTGTTCACTTCAGCACCTTTCACGATGGTGTAGGATTTCCATTTTTTATCTTTCACTGAAAATGATAACATACTTTTCCCATCATCCATGTAGTAAAAATTTCGACTCTTCTCATCGAATGTTGCTGCACTAATGGAAGAGTTCAAACTATTGCGGGTCGGTATCATGTGTGGAGTCCACGCAGTTTGGCCTTTGGAAATCACGTTTACTTCAACAGACGCTTCATCGATAAGGTTGATAACGGAGACGATGCAGTGATCGGAGGTAGGTACGTCGGAAAACGCCGCGACATGGCCGTCGATTTGCTTGTGTGGGAAATCGGGAAGAACGATTTTCGCAAGTGAAAAGGGGCAAAAGAAGAAAATCGATTCATCTTTATATACTAGCAGCCATCCGTGATATGATGCAAGACAGACTGCGCCTTTGAGATCTGGAATGTTCCGATTGTAGGTTTTTGATTCTTCGCCGTTGTAGATGAGACATTCTGAACTGTCGGTTTTGTGGAACAGTAACCATGGAGTTCGAAGAGATTCGATTGCAGCTGACGCAGTGGATGAAGCAGATCGGAAATCATTACAGGTTCCACGGAAACCTAAAAGCTCAATCATCGGTAATCTATCGGCTATGGAGGATAGAATCTCGGGGGGAAGATTGGAAAATGATCTCTTTTCAGCCGGAACTTCCTTCTTCGTTCCGGTATCCATTCCTTGCGTTTTCTACGTAACAAATTATTAATTATTTAATTTCACAATTTGTTCCCATTATTAATTAATATTTTAAGAAAAATATACCAAATAACATTCCTATTCATATTCCATAACAAACAAAAAACATGAAGATCCGGTCTCAATCTTTACTTCATGATAGCACACAGTAGTTACATATGAATATTCAACAAAATTCATGTTTAAAGTACAATTAATATATACAATATAGAAATCAGTAACTGTTAATTATGGTTTTGCTTTGCATTACGAGTTCATAAAAAATATTGTAATCTCGTTAAACTAGATTTTTATGTAACAATGATTCATAATTTATGCATGTAATTAGATTGTAAGTTATGTCATCATTAAAAAAAATCCTGTTATAGAATTTTTAACGTTTCTACACTTTACGATAATTTTTCCTTTAATATGGATATAAATAAACAGATTGACGAGAAATAGTTTATCACTGACTAGGGTTCATCAACGTCTTCATACACTCAACATTTCTGTATTCAAACTTTAGCGCACTAATCTAATCTATTTCCGTGTTAATTATACATACATACATACATTCACATATATACACACATGAACATAAACCAAATGAAGATGAAGAGAAGATGAGTATGTACCTTATGGTGAATTTGATTGTAGAAAACTGTGTGAGATGAAATCGTGAAGGCGAGGAAACTGGGAACAAGTATATATAGCGCGAGAGATTGCGGGTGAGGTTTGTTACTTCCCCTTTCAAAACTCCAATACAATCCAATTTCTTTTATTTATCTCCTATTTATAATTACTTTTAAAAATTTAATTTAATAATATTAAAAAAAAATTATCACCATTGGCTGTTTTTTTTTTTTTTTCAATTTAACTATTTATAAGAAATAATATTTTACTATGACTTCAATTGTTGAAATTGTATTAATCTATTAATCAAATTTTTTGACATGCAGATTTTAATTGTTGAAGAAATTAACAGATAAGATTATTAAAAAATACAGTATATTTTTGGAGATATGATAGGTGGTATGTTATAAAGTTGAGAAAGTCTTTAAAATTAGTTTAGATATATGTAACTTGTGATAATCTGTTTTGTTATGGTTCGTGGACTGTTTAGTTTTCCTATAAAATGATCGGGTAACCAAAAGCATAAATCCTTTCAGGATGACTTTAAATCACAATAAATAGATAATCACTTTTAAACCTTACACCAAGGTATCTTTTTAGAATTATATTTTAGTAATAACAGTACCAAACTCAACGATGAAGTGCAAGCGGTTAATATTAGTTGCCAAATAATTGGTTACAAGCCAAAGAGTCTTTGGCCTAACGGTATGAAGTGACTCTTTCATTTGAGAGGTCATGGTTTCAAGTCTTGTTTGAGACTTATATGATGATAGTTAAGAGTATATTAGTTTACCGTTCAAAAAAATAAAAATTATTGCGTAGAGTGTCTAATTAAATCATGGGAAAATGACTTAAAAATGTAATAAAGTATCAAAATTGTACAAAAAAGACCTTATTGTTATTTTAGTATAAAAAATACCAGGTTACCTGCTATTGTAGGTTACCCGGTTGTTTTTTATTTATGAGGAAAATAAGATATATTTGGAATAAATCGTGGCTTTCCCCTTCATTATTTCTCCCAAATTGAAATGATCTAGGGCTTTCCCCTGCCACCATGTTTGAGAATAATGAATCTCCATGGTTGTAAGCAAAGATGCAACTGTAACAAGATGCGTGTTTCTACCCACTGTCTTGAAATCTGCCATCAAAGAGTATGCTTGATCACCAGTGAGCTTTGGTCGATTTCAAAAGCGGGATTGCAGGAGCCTTCAAGCAATCCTCCAATAGATCACCGAGACCTTCCCTCTTCACACCCATTTTCGATTACAGGTATGCTCCTTGACCCACCTCTTCACCCTTTTTGATTCGATCACAACCCTTCCTTCTCCTTTCTTTTTCATGTTTTCTGCAGGTTTAAAGGATCATCCTTCTTGATTCGATCACCGCCCTTCCTTCTCCTTTATTTTTCGTGTTTTCTGCAGGTTTAAAGGGTGAAGAGAACGATGTATAGGGTCTAGAAATTTGGAGATGAATGTGTGGGTTTGAGGCTCGATAACAGGTGGGTGCTCTGTAATTGGGGTGATAGGGGATGACAACAGTGGAGAGGGAATGGTGTCGATGGTGGCTGTAATGGAAGTGGGTTAAAAGGTGTGGCTGTGATGGAGAAATAAGGGGGGTTTATAGTGATTGAAGGTTGTAAAGGTTATGGGGATTGACTGTGGGAATCATGGATGGAAAGTGGTGTTGTTCGGTGGTTCAGGTAGGGTGAAGAAAATGAATGGAGGTTGCCTTGCACGTAAATGGTAGGGGATAATGGTGGGGCATTTGGTGATAGTGTAAAGCTGCTTATGGTGGATGATAATGGAGGTATAAGGGTGGTATTCGGTGAAAATGGTGGAAGAAGGTGATGGATTAATGGTGGTAGACGATTACCTTGAATACCCGGTTACCATGAGGATAAATAAGAACAAAACATAAAGTTAAATGGTATTTTTTTGTACAAAATCCTAGTTCATTGGTATTTTTTTGTACTAAAATAACAATAATAGTCATTTTTGTACAATTTTAATACTTTGTTACCGTTTAAGTCATTTTCCCTTAAATCATTGATTATGCATGTTGGTTCCTATTCGTGTGCAAAGGCATGATACAAAATCTTAGGCAAGATAATGACAAAGTATGACTAGCATATGATAAGAGTCTCGATATTATAGGGGTTGGGGATGTTGTCCTTAAAACATCTTTAGGTACAATCTACACATTGAAGAATGTCAAATATATTCCAGCTCTAAAGAGAATATAAATATTATTGGGAAAGTTAGATGATGAAGGATATCATGTTGATTCTAGATGCAAGCCCGACTCAACACGTGGGTGAGTTAGGCTTAGGCCTAGGGAATCAAGTTTTTAGGGGCATCAAAATAGTCCAAAGACATAGTATATAAATAGTACGACTAATATTATAAAAAATCCTAAATTTTAACGCGTAGTTGGAAAAAACTCTAATATATTTTTTATTATTGCTATGCCCATAACTTTCTCATAGAATTATCACTCTAGTCCACTTAACGAGTTTCATGGTTAACTTTATTAACTTTTTTGCAAAATCAGTCATAAAAAGTTCAAATTTGGTCCCTCAGGTTTGTAAAAAATTACACCACGTGGTTTTTTAACTTTATTTTTTCGTTTTTTGTATACTTTATTTATTTTCGTTTTTTATAAATATATATATATATACATTTTTTATTTTCTTTTTTATATATATTTTATTTATTTTTATTTTTTAACTTTATTTTTCAACAATTTGATTTTTTTAACCTTTTTACCTTTTGTTTTATATTTTTTTCCCTATTTTAGTTATTTATGGTTTTTCTAATGTTTTTATTTATTTTGATTCAAGTAAACGAACTTGAATTCGATATAAATTACTATAAAAAGTGTTTTTTTATAGAGAACGACTATTATTATTATTTTTATTTCTTTCTAATTGAAAAATACTATCTTGGATTTAAACTATTGATATCACATATAGAAATATGATTTAATTTGCAAGTTATATCACACATTAAAACATTAATTCTCAATAACCAAGCTATTTTTTTTCATTTTTTCGTAACATAAATATAATAGCACTAAAGAACAAAAAAATAATAAAAATAATAAGTTGGACCGAAATTACAAATATAAACATAACTATTTTATTTACTTGAATAAAAATAAAAAAATTACAAAACTATAAATTATAAAAATTGTAATATACTCTAATACATTAATACATTTTATATTTTTTTTAAAAAGGTCAATAAAAAGTTAAAAATACAAAAAAAAAATAATAACAAATAAGATAGAAAATAATAATAATAAAAAGACGAAAAAATTAAAATATAATACGAAAAGAAATATGAAAAAAAAAACTAAAAAAAACTCTAATATACTCTATATACACTAAAAAAATTAGAAAACAAAAGGTAAAAAGATAAAAAAAAATCAAATTGTTGAAAAAAAAAGTTAAAAATGAAAATAAATAAAGTATATATAAAAAACGAAAATAAAAATGTATATATATTTATATAAAAAATGAAATTAAATAAAGTATATAAAAAACGAAAAATAAAGTTAAAAAACCATGTGGTGTAATTTTTTGCAAACCTCAGGGACCAAATTTGAACTCTTTAGGACTGATTTTGCAAAAAAGTTAACCAAGTTAACTATGAAACTCAATTTTGCGAGAAAGTTGTGGCCATAACAATAATAGAAAAATATATTAGGGCTTTTTCCAATTACACGTTAAAAAATTAGGGCTTTTATAATATTAGTCCTATATAGTAACAACCCAAAAAAATTAGCACATATCTTCTCATCTGTTTACGGACATGAGAAAGAATGTTGGGGAAAGACAGGCGCCAAACTATCATCAATTATCAAATGCACATAGAGAAACCAAAACGTTCGATGACTCCCAGAGACCTGCTGGTGTTGCTCTCGATGGGAGAAATCAATGCCTACCTAGAATACGTCTCTGATAAATAAAAAACAGTGTTGTATATACATCCTCACTATGTTCCGATTAATCTCTGATTAGTCCCTAGGCGTTACCCGACCGACTAGAAGACATCTAGCGGTTAATCATGCCTACACAATGAGCGAACCAGTAAAAAACGATAAAATGTTAACACTTTGAAGACGGTATATCTCAATAGAAACTATTTAATGAATGATTATTAATTTTTTTTAATTATATTAACCTGTTTTGTTATAATATTAGTGATATTTACGAACTTTGTTATAACATTGTTCATATTTAATGTAACATGCAGATTTTTGGAAGTATTATAATTTATTATATTTTCGAATTTTAGGCAGTGCCACGTCGTGGTGAAGGAATCCCGCGACGTGGAAATGGTCGTTGTATCGTGGGTTTAAAT